TTCAAAGACTTGTGAAAAATGTATTATATTTATTTAATCAAAATATATCAAGTTTTATATTTCAAGTGTCGTAAAACATCGCTAGTATTAGCAACTCGGAAATCGGAATTAATTATGTTAGCCCGTATCGGGTTTTAGATATTTTCATTCAATATGTTTCCGGTTTAGATTGTTGCTTATCAAATGGCCAAAGACGGTGTTTCTTTTGTAAATTATGAAATAAAACAATTTTTTTTGTGTTAAACTTTATTTCTGATAGACATTGATAATGACCTTCGTGTAAACGTTTACTCAAACTGTAAACGTTTAGAGCATATAATCAAAACGTCGCCGTTTACACGTGTAATCGTTTCGCCCTTACTGACATTATTAATTACCTGTCTGACATCATCAATAACCTGTCTGACATCATCACAAACCTGTCTGACATCATCACTTACCTGCCTGATATCATTACTTACCTGCCTGACATCATCAATTATCTATCTGACATTATACACTTATCCACTGGGTGTGAGTGGGATAGCTCTTTTATCAAACCCGCGACAGAGAACTATTCCCCGAGGGCTTGCCCGAGGGGAATAGTTTCTGTCAAGGGTTTGATAAAAGAGCTATCCCACTCACACCCAGTGGATAAGTGTTTTATTATACTGATGTATAATATAATTTCTGAGGTTTGTATTTTTTAGTAGTAAGATAATACTGCAAGAATAATCTGAAAACCTGATGACGTCACAATGCTACTGAAGTCCTTATGACATCATCAGTCAATAGATTTATCGCTGCAAATCAAAATTGGCGGCAAAAATTGCATGAAAATTTCCCGAGGGTGGATAGCAAAAACTAAACCCCGGGATATAGCTTTGCTATGCGTGAACTATTAAAGATAGCTATTTTAATTTTACCTTCTAAACTTTATATAGGAAACATTTTAACAGAAGTATAATAACATCAATTATCTGTCTGACATCATCAATTATCTGTCTGGCACCATCATTTACCTGTCTGGTCTGTGTTAACTTCATAAAAGACTACTTGACTACATCATCACTTACCTGTCTGACATCATCACTTGCCTGTCTGACATCATCACTTACCTGTCTGGTGGATGTTAACCTTAATAATAACTTACCTGACTGACAGGTGTGAGAGCTTCATCATCACTTTGGTCTGTATGCTCCTGATCTGAGTCTGTGTTTATATCTATATAAATTAAAAATTAGTTAAAATTAATCTCAAACATGAAAAGAATATAGCCTAAATAATATCCAAAGTCTATGTAACTTATTTTGACAATTTAAGCCACTGTTATGATTGCAAATTTTCCATTTGATGTTACATGTACTAGAATCATGGACTAAATCTAAAAGCATGTGATAAGTAAGAGAGAGAGAGAATAATAATCTTTGTCAGCTATTTTGATTGTTCTGTATGATTAATTTAACCCCTCTTTTATAAGCTTAAATTTCACAGATATTTCACAATGACTTTCAAATATGTCCCCATTTTTCAGACCAATTCCTCGTAGGAAAAGATTTGATTCAAATCTAAATGTTAAAATCTTTTATCATGTTGTTATGTAGAATGAATGAATGTTCCAACCCCAACACTCCCCCCCCCCCCCCCATCTTCCAATCTCTGAATGAATCCCCTATTATGCCAATCTTTTCTTGAAAATGGTTCTTATAATTCTGAAAACATTTTAAACTTGTTGACTGTTCTTCAAAATTACATAAACACTGATACAAGAATGTGTAAAAAAAAAATCAAAATAGAGCAATAAAAAAAACACTTATTTTTTTCTATTTTGTGACTATGGCATTTATGAATACCTCAAACCCTTTATGAATATGTTGTTGTTAAGGGTTTTTTTTAATGCATCATTATCTCAAAATTACAAAATACATGTATGCATCTGTGAATGTCACTCAGAATGCTGTTTTTCTTTTCCCTGGACAAAACATCTGATATTTATCATGTTTATCAAGTGAGACGTTTGTTTTCAAGTAGCTGCATTCTTCCTAATCTGTAATACTTACGTAATTGTTCCGTACACAACATTGAGGTGGTCGCGGGCGTAGAGGCTGCCCGAGGAAGCATTTCTCCGTTGACCATCTTTGGCGTGAAGGGCTCCATGTGAGTGCCGTTCATCCTTAGGGGACTATCGGAAATGGATTTTTCCGTCCAGGTCTGAGGAACATTTTCCTTTTGTTCATAGTCGGCGTCTTGCTGATCGTAGTCCGTTTCTTGTTCCGAGCTAGAAGATGCCAGATTTAAGGAAATGCTCTTTGGAAGATTTGGCGAGTCCCCTACACTGATTCTCTGCTCCATGACGGGAGCTGACTCTGACCTGAGGGGGGAGGCTGTTTCTGATCTCTCTGGGTGCCTCATTCCTCCTCTCTTCGGAGACTTGCGAGGCGTAGGGGAAGGTTCCCCATCCAAGTCTCTGGGTTTTGATGATTTCTGACCTGTATCCATGGTAACATAGTAAACAATAATTATTTTACTGACTCCTACAACTGAATTGCAAATAAATATTGACATTTTCTACGGTACCTGAAAAATTATTTTTCTGGAGAACTTTTAACACAGAACTACCTACACCGGAATATTTTTTTTCCTCTAAATTTAACATCATAATCTAAATATAAACATTCACTAGTAATGAAATATTATTAAGCTTCATAAGATACTCATTAACGAACTTTTGACAAGCAAGGAAACCGAATTGATAGTAATTAATTAAATAACCTGATGCTTAATCATGTTGATTGAACTACATAAATACTTTATGTAAATCTGGCAAAAGAGTCTACCTACAGTGGCTACACTTGGGAATTATTACTCTGAATCTAAAATCCAATATACTAAGAGGGGGCCAGAATAGTTACATCATGTAAATTTCATGCTGCTGGATCATTTTCAATAATTCAAGAAAAAAACTGTTACTTGTAATAGCCCAATGTTATCATGATTTAATATAAGTTACTTTTAAGTTTATAAAATTTGTTTTCTCAAAAATCGCCCCCACAGTTAAACAAAAATTAAAAAGTAGATAATTTTTGGGAGGGTAGCTAAACAGCTAAATAAAAAATAAATTGAAAAAAAATAATGGGATATAAAACCCCAGTATTTTTTATTTATTTTCAAGTTGTTTACAACACAAACTTTACACTGATTGATCATGTTGATAAAAAAAAATGTTTGGTTCCAATATATGTAATTCTTTGTGGTTATGTAGCTCAGTCACACAAAGTTTTATTAGAAAATGATATGGCACAGTTGTGCATAATGACTGATTGTCAAATGATTTTGTTTGTTACTTTGTGAAGACAATTCAAATTATGGGCAGTTGTTTTCCTGTTTTAAACACATCAGGCTCTAGGGCCACAAAACTCAACCTCAATTTTCATCTCATTCACTTAAAATTTCCATTTTATTTTTCAAGGAAGGGGGAATGCAAAGCCATTTTAAGTATTATTGCAGCATGCTCCTCACCTTATTGAGTTCACTGACCAATTTATGAAATATTTCTTGTAAACCCAAGTATTATTTTGCAAGAGTGAAATCTAAAACTTGTCAAAGTTAAATCTATAATGATTACAGATTCATTAATGTTAACAAACACATATCAAACATGAAATAAGAAGGGAGGGGGATAGGGGGGTGTTTCCATGGCAATCATAACACCAGCAGTCTTAAATATCACATATATGACAGTACATTTACACTATGTACATGTACCTAATTTAAAGGAAATCTTAATTATGATTGAACTTATGTATCTCCTTGCTTATTGAATGTCTTTGGTAATTTATTCTTTCTCAGCATGTAAAACACTTCTAATAAACAATACATGTATATGTTCATTATGCTGATTGATTAAATTTCAGTTGTATATGTTGACTGACAAGAATAAGCAGAGAGATGGCCATAAAACGCAGTTTATGTACTATATGACATTTATCTGGTTATATTTATAGTGTAACTGAAGCTCAGTATGATTGACTGTGTACTACCGGTACTAGAAATATGTGCACATGTGTCAATAATCAACAATTTCAAATAGATGTATATTCTGAATACAAAATATACCTGTACAGAGGTGCATTGTTAACCTAGCATTTTATGCATTTATTAGTTAACACATTCCTGAGGACTGTATACATGGTACATGAAAGTTTTCAATGATTTTATCTTAGTATACACACAGTTTGGACAAAAGGAGCATTTAGAAGTGACTCATAAATATTGACCTAGGTCAGGTTCCTGTAGTGAGATAGCATGAAACTAATTATATCCCAGTGCTACACATATTCTATTACATTTTCCTCCCAGTTTCAAATTCACCCCTGTCACATAGTTCAACAGCCAACACAGGGGGTCTGATGTGTTGTTTTATGTCTTAAATAACGAGTGCGTCCTTAACCAGGTTTTTTCACAGTAGGTCGCATGCCTGTTCGTGTCGGATAATGTTGATGATGAGGGTTTCCAAAGATCCGCCATCTTGAATTTTTCTGGGTAATTTGCAAAAGCTAATCTACTTATAATGAGTGTTATATAAATGTCTTTATTGACCAAGAGTCCATAAACAAAACTATGATGTGTAAATGGTGACCACTGAATTAAAAATGTAAACACGCAGTACGGAGAAACTGTCAAATATATAGAATAAGGCGGCTAATGTTTATTGCTCGAGTGTCATGCTTCGACATTTTTAACATGGTCGGTGAATCTCGAATAACAACCGATTTATGCAGAAATACTCACCCATGATAGAGAAGATCCCACTAACCCGGTATTTTATGTCAGCATATGGGTAAATATATCTCCTTTGCCATCCACATGTTGTGTATACACAGCCGAAAGGAAGTTCTCAAATGTCAACAAACTGTGGACGATTCCACTTCCAACTCGCAAAGGGGGAGTCTAGCATTACGTTTAGAAACTAATTAGCGCGTACTTGATAAATGTCGCATCTGAATCCGCTGATTTTAATTAAAACTCTCACTTTGTGATATTATGTTGAGAAAAACGGGAAGAAAGTGATCGATTAAGTTAATAAAATATATGCAGGGTCCATTATTTTGACACTGTAGTCGTTCTGCACTTGTGGGGTTCTTAAAACCAATGGGCCGGGGATATATGCAGACAGACAAGACTTACAGCGAAAATGTTACTAGAAATTTTGATTGCTGGAATTGTTATAATATTAACCTTGATAGTATTCAGACTTGGATCTTTCCTATACAAGTGGTATGTATATATTTTACTTTTTCGTTCGTCCGGTAGGAGGTAACCCATCGGTCAACGTAAGCCAGCTGTTAAACGTTCGGGGCATTTAAACTCTTTCTATCTATAGAGTTTATTTTATATAAGATCTCAATTCACATCTTTATTGTAAATATAATATGCTGCCTAAATTGGTGAATTATTACTCAGATTCTTTATTTTCTTTTTCATTTTTTTGTTCAGATACCGATAAAACATAATTAATTAAGCTTTTCAAATTTCTAATTTATTAAAAATATAAATTAAATGTAAAAACTGTAGCATAGCAAATGATAGAAACTGGACTCCACGGGGTTTCGTCATCGATGAACATTTTTTTTTATATATATTAGGATTTAATTTTAGAGCATAAGGGTAAATAATATCGTGAGTGCGTGAAAAAAAAATTTCCATTCAGTTTTCAAACATTCAACAATATATATATATGTATAATGGTCCACGTGTAAACGCACCCAGGGCTAGATCATAACATATGTCGCTTAGATTAACAATGTCATTTTTCATAATATAAGAAAAAGACAAGGGGGCTAGTATTTGCACTTTAAATATTATACTTTCTCAACAATTTTATGTAAATTCAAAAATATATAATATATAATAAAAATGAACAAAAGAAGCTGTGATTACAATTCTTGCGATTTTTTTAAAATTAAGACATACGAGTGTAATTATATATTATAATATTTTCATGTACATGCAAAGAAATGAAGAATATATATATAAATACCAAATAAAAATATTAAATAATAACCTTTTTGAACAAAGGGGGGGGGGGGCTAGGATGAGGATGATTGGGCCCCAAGGAATGCGTGTACCTCTCCTTAAAGATATAAATGCTTAGATCGATAAAGACCATAGATGTCAACGGAAAAAGTTTGTCAGGAAATGAAAATGCAGCATGTATTGCTTTTTTCTGATTAAGGATATGAAGACCTTCTTTCGCAATAAAGGCTGCATGGCTACAGTCCCAGAGAATCGATAGGAGTTTTTATGACATTTTGTACATTTGTACATGTATATTATATACATGAATATAGTGTTCATTATCACCCTAAAGGATTAAGTCATTGCCGATCGAGATTTGCTTTCAGTAAAAAAAAATCTTGTTATTTAATACTAATTTTATACTATCGTTTTAAATTTACTGGATGGAGGCATGCGCTGATCGAGGAGGGGAGGGGAAAGAATTCAGGCTTCCTGGGGATTTTCGGAGGTTGTTAAGGTTCATAAACCCTCTGCTTACACATATAAAAAGTTGCTTGAACGTTAATCATTTTCCAAAAGAAATGTATTTTATAAGTAAAAATTATAGCATAGCTCAGCTATCTTGAGAAGGCAAAATTAGACAAAATTAAAGACACTTCAACTTGACAAATCTATAAAGGAATAATAGACATTTATGTCATTAAGAGTTATCTCTCTTATCAGAGGATCGATGAACTTTAAATGTACACAGTGAAGTAAATAAAATAATATTACCTCCTTCCTTTAAGTTTTAGAACACATATACATGTATCATCAATCTTAATATGTCGCGGTGAAGAAAATCCGCTCATCCCCATGCACCATATAGATTGAGAGAGCACATGTCAATTCTTAATTTATTACGTATATATAGCTACTGTATTGTAAGGATCTGATCTGATTTATTCATTATTTACAGGTCAACAAGGCGTCATCAAGTCCCACCGGATGTGGTCATTCTGTATCAAATCGGCAGAGGTCCATTTGCACCAAGTGTCTCCCCCTTTCCTTTAAAATTGGAGACGTTTTTACGGATGACGAAAACTCCATACGTTGTGAGTATATGTGCAGATTGAGAGGGGAAGGGGGTCAGAGTTCTTAAATTTCTAAGTAAAGTAACAAAACAATGATCAAAATGACCTTAGGTCTTTGAATTTCTGATTGACAATATCTATTTAGATTTTGGAGATCGAAAATTGAACTATAGGTACACGACTATAATAGTCGTGTACTAGCTTATTTTAATTTTCAAATAAAAATCAGTAAACGACATAATATTAAACACACGACAGAGTCTGAGACATCTATTTCATATCCGGATACTTTGCTAGCAAAAAAAGTCATTGTTTTACCTTTGAAAATTTGTTCCTATTCAAAATTTTACGAAAAAAGTCCAACATTTCTAATGTTTTGCTGAGCGGGCATAAAAAATCGATGTTGGACCGCTGAGAGAGATGTTGGACCGGTCGATGAGATGTTTGACCGCTTACGTCACAGAATGGGCAGAGCTTAATCTCATTTTCATTCGTTGTTGTTAACAATTAATGGAACTGAGATTACATCACATTTATTGACTGAGTTCGAGGGCAACATGCGTTTTGTCGGGCCTAAGAACCAAACTGTCTGCCTGAGGCCGTTATTCGAATGTATAATTTCAACCTAAAAACGACACTAGTCTTGAGGATAAATTTTATGGCTTCAACTTTTCCTCTTTTACTAGTAGTATTTATAAATACCATCATCACCTCATCACCTCCATAAGAAGCTTACCGTTATTATGCTTATGTGACTGTCTCCCATTTGAATCGAAATGCAAGAACATGCTCTACATACGAACAATTTCCTAATCAAAATGAAACAAATTATAGATAAATAAGTTGATGAAAACAACAGTCTCGTTTATCATCATCAATACGTCAATTACATGTACAGTATATGGTCGATACAATGGCCTAGTTAGCAAATGAAATCTATCGTCAAGTCGAACGTTGACTGACTTTTTTCTATGAATTGTTAGCTCATTTTCCCACAATGAATTGTCTACGAATCTTTTTCCGTTGATCGATCAAGGAGCACAAGGGATTGGACCGCTTTCGCCTTCAGGGCATCTGATCCCAACTCTGATGTTTTTTAGAGATCCGTGTCTGCTCTGCTCCCAATATCTATTGGCTTGATTGTTGTTTTTATCTTGATATTTCACTCATGATTGACAAAAAATAATAAGAATTCAAAGTTCTGTGTTTCTGGCACGTGGAATCTTCACAGTGTCGAGGTTTGTGATAATTCATATACCTCTTCACAAACCCTTGACAAAAGTTGGGTTTGTGGTTTTACATTACGCAGGGTTAAGTACATGTATTATTAACAAATAACAATCATTGAGAATATTTTGAAGATCATTAAATTTTCGCGATACCTTATTTTCGCGAGATAGTTATTGACTCTTGGGACAAACGGTTTACGAATTGTAGTTACTATATATAATCTGAAGGAATATTTATTAATTGTAGGCGAGAATAAAATTTTCGTGAGAACACTGTCTCGCGTAATTACACGAAAATAAAGTTCTTGCAAATAAAAAAGATTTACTAGTAAATACAAAATTTAGTTGTCATATTGTGAATTTTGTATCTACTCCCACCCGGTAAATTCAAAATTTACAACACGACACTTTTAAAAACCAATCTCCGATATTTCATTGGAGGTATTAGTAGTCACAAATCCTACGAAATAGGTAATTTTTGAAGACAAGTCATATTTTTCCCTAAACTTTCCTGCAGGGAAGCCCGTTTTCTTATTTGGACCAGTCGTAGACAGGGAACAAATGAAACAGTACATAGCTTCCTGGCCCGACTTTTTAAAAACGATTTTTGTCAAGGATTTGTTTAGAAGACTAATACCGGGTATCATAAAACCTTGATACTGGGAAGATGCCACATGGAGCCTGTGATTACCGTTTATGAAAATGGCATAGATACAACAAATGTAGTAAGAAAAGGATGAAAGGCACCCAGGAGATTTCAAATTATTTTAAGCCTATTCCAGTGCGTTTTTTTTTTAGGGTGGGCGGAGGTGGGGAGAGGAGGGTACATGTACGTTGGCGAAATCAACCCAAACCTCGATCATAATTTAAAGCTAATAATAAAGAATTATGAGTAATCTATCAAATAGGTTTATACTTTTGAAATGTCTACACTAGAAAAGAACTTTTCATTCAGTTTAAATTTTACCACAGTCAAAGACGAAATTCTGATAATGATTGCTGAATAAATTCTTGTTTGGAAAAGAAACTTGAATATCGCTATCTACAAATACCCGGTATATTAAAAGCTAAGATCGATCAACATGCAATGAAAAGTATACTTATACATGAACGTGAATAAAATACCTTTATTAAAGTAATACGTGCATAAAATTGTTGTGAATTGATCTCTCTATGTAACACATGCATATATTTTTTTACTACATGTATATATTTTAGAGTAGCAAAAACTTTTTTTAAAAATTACGCTATCACATAACTGTGAATTTATTGTTGTTTCAGAGGAATTTTTTTATGTTCACACTAATAACAACTTCAACATGTGTGATGAAAGTTACAGAATATTTTATTCACCGCTACAATCCAATGCTATACCCTTTTTGTACAAACATATACAATAAACTAAATCGGGTTACTATGCGTGACACCTCATTTTTAAAGTGTGAATTCCATGACTTTTTCTTTATGATATCAGACTCCAGAATAACACTATAATAATGCTTAAATCGATTTGAAATTCAATGTTTCAAACAATTGTACATGTTTATTTGTCGGGTTTTTTTTTTTTTTTTTACATCGAAGGGCAAAATCATTATAATGTATTTAGTCGCGCTTTTTCTCCGTTATATCGCGATTGTTGCGATCTATACTAATATTGCGGAAATTTTGTGTTTTGCGAAAAGTTCGAGAAAAATTGGCAAAACGTCGCGTTAAAACACGAAGAAATATTTATTTACGTTATCAAATTGAGTTCAATAAACTTTCGTAGAATTTAAAGAAAAAAACATTATGCCGTGGGAATTTATAGGCAGGAATTGAAATTTTAAAGATATATGTCATCCAATTAAATACAAAGGTACAAAATTAAAGCAACTTTTAACTTTAGTCTAATCGGGGAAAAGAAATCTTCAATTAACCTACGCTATGTTAAAATCACGAATTGTACAAAACAGACTCACTTGAAATTTTATGATGGCAATTCAGTTTTTTTTTTAGTCACCCGTTTCTAATTAGTAGAGATAAAGATATAGTAGGTTGCAACCAGATGTTTCACAAAATTATATAATCTAATGCTAAAACCGATTTCAAATTCAATGTTTCAAACAATTGTACATGTTGTTTATTTGACGGATTTGTTGTTGTTTTACATCGAAAGGCAAAATTATTCTATTATATCCGGGTTCTTTTTGCGTTATATACGAGGGACGTTCAATAAATAATGTCATTAGCTCGATGTCATACAGCATATAAATCATATGATTAAGCTTGACGTTCTCTCATTATAAAATCTTTCATGAATTGATAACAGTTTATGTGACCACTTTTCATCGCATTATTTCATTGCTGGAAGCTGGAAAACAAGGGCTAGTCGAGACACTGCATTAAAAATAAATGGTCAAGAATCAGTAAACTAGAGTAAAATTAAACGCTTCATTTAAGCAGCTGTAAAACTTGTTAATATCCCAAAAATATATTTAACTGAAATATGTGAAATTTACAGCAACCAATGTCTGTTTTATACACACATGAACAGGTGGATTTCAGTAAAGAAAAATTATATAATGGGCTTCAAAACTGGGTACCGTCCTTGGCAACAAGGACATACAACAACCAATATATATAGACATCATTTTTGGGGTAGTTCACTCTGTTTTAAAGAAACATTTGATAGTAAAAAGTTTAATACTCAAAGGCCACCCCATATTTTGAAAAATGAGTGAAAACGTCAGCGTGTAGGAATGCCTAAAAAATTATTTTTAAAAAATCAAAAATTGTACTTATCCACATTTTTCTGAAATTCAAATAGATAATGAAACTTGAACATGTTGAATACATTTTGCTTTAAACCCTCAAAACAAATTTACAATAAGATGCACTTGACAAAAATGCAAAGTCCTAAGAAGAACAAAGACTTGCAATGGCACAACAACAGTTTTATATGCTATTTCCTTAAATATTAGCGGTCTTGTTCAAATTCATATTCGGGGAGGAAGCTCAATTTCTGGAGGAGTCTATTTAACAAATTTTTGCAAAAAAATTGAAAGGTTTATGAGAGGAAGGAAACAGAATGAGGAGTCCACTTCATGACAGCGTCCAAACCCACAGGCCATGAAGAGTAAAGGAGTTTTGGGGATAAACAGAGGGTTAATGTTTTGTCACACCAACAAAATTTGCCAGATCTTTCAAACTTTGACTTGTTTCATTTCCCAAACTTAGAAAAACAACCATCAGAAAGAAAAAAAACAAGTACAGCAAATCATAGGATATGCCATATTCCAGTATACAAAGGGTCATGCTCATAAATGAGTTCTAAAAACAATTAGAAATTGAATAAAAATGTTACGGACATGTTTTTTAATCAAAAGAGAATATTTTAATTAAATCATGAAGACTAAATTGTAAAAAAAAAAAAAAAAAAAAATTTGTGTCTTTTTTCGAGTCCCAATGACATTATGTATTGAACGTCCCTCGTACATGTACAGTGTATTGCGATTGTTTCGCGTTATACTAGCATCGCGGTAATTTCGTGTTTCGCGAAAAGTTCGCGTAAATTGACAAAACTTCGCGTTAAAACACGAAAACATATTTATTTACGTTATCAAATTGAGCTCAATAAGCTTTCGTAGAATTAAAAAAAAAACATAATATAAAATATGCCGCGGGAATTTAAATGCATGAAGTGAAACTTAAAAGAAACATGTCATTTACAATTTAATACAAAGATGCATAATTTAAGCAACTTTAAAACTTTAAAAGACAAAAAGGGGAAAAATAAATCTTCAATTAACCTACGCTAGGCACGAATTCTACTAAACCGACTTTTTATTATGGCAATTCAGTTTTTTAGACACCCATTTTCTTAATTAATAGAGATGATAGTATAGTAGGTTGCTGGCGTTATGCAACCAGATGTTTCACAAATAATGTCATAAGATCAAGAACCACAAACGTTGGGAAAATCTATATTTAGTTTGGTGGTGGGGGAAAATCAATCGTTTGTGACAGGGAGAAAATGAAAACAGATAAATATATCAGGAAATCTACGTCGGGGAATCCCCTGGGTACAATATATATATATATATATATATATATATATATATATATATATATATATTCAAAAAATTATTTTTCCTTGGTATAGGGATAAAATAAAATCCAAATTCAAATGATAAACTCAAACTTTTATCTAAAGCGCTTTCGCCCCATGCGGGCTCATCAGTAGATTTGAAATTGTAAACAAGTTACATTATGACGTCATTCTCGTGACGTTATGTAGGCAACGTTATACATAATGATTGTGACGTAATAATAATCACAGTTCAATGAGGCGCACAGATAAAGTTTTACAGTTCATCTGATCAAAGTTAAGCGCCTATTATAAATGTACAATAATGGAGACATTTTATATAAAATGTACATAATAAAATAATTTGATATAAATTCCTTTTAGCAGTTCAATTTTGGTTTAAACAGATTTATAAAATATTGTTCTTTGGCTTTCCGTAATTGTTCATTTTCCTCTTTTATTTTGTAAAAAGGAAATATATAAAAATGTCCTTTGCCACAAGAATCAAAGTGTTCACTACATTGCGTGTTTCGTATGGTCGGATCCTTAATCTGTTGTTTGTGCACGCGAACACGATCGGCTAATTTGGTTCCGGTTTGTCCTATATAATTTTCCTCACATGTAGGACACGTCATACAGTATATAAGGTTTTTAGATTTACACGTCATAGAAGATTTAACGTCAAACTTCATTCCGTTTTTAAAAATAATGGTTTGGCCGGTTTTTAAAAATTGACAAGAATGGGGACAAAAGTCGCCCCTACCTACGCAACTCTCGTTTTAGGCTTTCTGGAGGAAAAACTTTTTTCAGAATGCAAAACATTTTTTGGAGAGGATTTTGGTACATACATTGAAAGAAACTGGAAACGTTACTTAGATGACTGTTTTATTTTTTGGACAAAATCTCTACAAGATCTACAACAGTTTAACAGCATTCTAAATCGGCTCCATGAAAGTATGCATTTTACAATGGAAATCAGCGAAGACAGATTGCCATTTTTAGACATTCTTATTATAAAAGAGGGAAGGAAAATCATAACGGATCTCTATTACAAGAGCACAGACTCCCATCAATATTTGATTTTCAACTCATGTCATCCCTCCCATACTAAACGAAACATCCCATTCAATATGGCCAGGCGAATTTGTACTATTGTTATTGATGAGGAGCGCAGAAATACAAGACTATGTGAACTAAGAATTTTTCTTTCTAGACAAAAATATCCATCAAAATTAATTGAGGCTGCTATACAAAAGGCAAAGGAAATACCCATTAACGAATTACGTACTATTAGACATCACGAAGAGGAGAGCAACGAAAAGATCCCTTTTGTTCTAACCCACAACCCAAGAAATCACAACATCTTTAAAACTGCCAAACAATTTTTCCCTATTATTCAACAATCAGAAACATTAAGGGACCTTATTAAACCAGAGGATATACTACACAGCAGGCGTCAACCTCCCAATTTGAAAAAGATTCTTACCACTGCCAAATTTACATCGAACCCCGAGAAACCGATGGTTTCTAAGTGCGAGGATCCACGATGCGGAACCTGTCAATTTTTAAAAACCGGCCAAACCATTATTTTTAAAAACGGAATGAAGTTTGACGTTAAATCTTCTATGACGTGTAAATCTAAAAACCTTATATACTGTATGACGTGTCCTACATGTGAGGAAAATTATATAGGACAAACCGGAACCAAATTAGCCGATCGTGTTCGCGTGCACAAACAACAGATTAAGGATCCGACCATACGAAACACGCAATGTAGTGAACACTTTGATTCTTGTGGCAAAGGACATTTTTATATATTTCCTTTTTACAAAATAAAAGAGGAAAATGAACAATTACGGAAAGCCAAAGAACAATATTTTATAAATCTGTTTAAACCAAAATTGAACTGCTAAAAGGAATTTATATCAAATTATTTTATTATGTACATTTTATATAAAATGTCTCCATTATTGTACATTTATAATAGGCGCTTAACTTTGATCAGATGAACTGTAAAACTTTATCTGTGCGCCTCATTGAACTGTGATTATTATTACGTCACAATCATTATGTATAACGTTGCCTACATAACGTCACGAGAATGACGTCATAATGTAACTTGTTTACAATTTCAAATCTACTGATGAGCCCGCATGGGGCGAAAGCGCTTTAGATAAAAGTTTGAGTTTATCATTTGAATTTGGATTTTATATATATATATATATATATATATATATATATATATATATATATATATATATATATATATATATATATATATATATATAGGGAACGTGGATGCTAAAATGTACTCGAGTTAACCGATTTTGTTTTATTTATGGTCTTTCTCGTTGCTGAGTCTAGTTCATCAGTATACTTTACATCTGAATTACATGTATTATAAGTGTAAATATCACTGAAAATTCTAAGAACATGTTCTTTTCTTTATTGAAAGATAAAACAACTGACATGTTAAGAATATTGAATCAGAAATTTTTACTTGAAATTAACATTTTCAGAAAATTTACAAATTTATGTTTAAATCGATATTTTCTCAACTGCACATACATGTACATGTACTGCACTATGTAAAAAGAAACACTGCAAAGGATTTCCTTAATTATAAAAGATTTCCCAAATTATAAAGAAACATGCATTTTGGAAACGTGGTTTGAAATTATCTAGGCTAGTTTTTTGATGATTACGAAGATGCGCACGACAAGGTTAATCGATTTCTTCATGAATGCTTATTTGTAGAACGATCACTCGGGAAAGTTTTCCTCCAAAAGAAAAACACCTTGGATAGAGTATGACGGGAAATCTATAGCCGATTCCCAGTTCTGCATTGATTATATCAAGAAAAAAAGAGGCGTGGACGTTAATGGCGACCTGTCTCCCTCAGATCAAGCAGTGGCCAGAGCGTTTCAAAAGATGACTGAAGAAAATCTATATTGGTAAAATGTCTTTCATTTCTATATAATAAGCTAATTCAGATAATCTGTGTCCTTCAGAAAAAAAGAGAGCATGCGCGGATCTAGAAGGATCAAAATGAGGGGGTACTTTAATTAAGAGGGCCAGGCGAGGCAATATGGAGTTATGGTAGAAAAATTTCATCGCAAAAGATCATAAACTTTTTAAAATATCGCCCGGAAATAAAAGTTAAACACACAGACAGAATATATGAATTTACGACCTTGAACTTTGAACGTTTGACCTCAAAATCAATAGGTTCTTCTTGGACCATAGAGAGTTTTAATATAAAATTTCACTGCAAAATCTCACAGGCTTCTTCGCGCGGAAAATGTTAAAACAGACAGAATTTTATGAATTCAACGACCTTGACCTCCGGGGGGGCTGTTTGAATCTCACCTTTTAATTCTTATTAATATTAAAAATTTGAACATTTTTTTTAATTGGTCTCCAGTTAAATGCGACAAGGCAGAGTTTATTTTTTTATTTCCGTCTTGTTAACGAACACACTTCCGTCTTGTTGAACGAACACACTTTATCAGCAGACATTTTGACTGTTTTGTCAGCAATGACTTACATGTAAACCTGTCTGACGCAAGTACAACAGCAAAATGTACATATTAACAGCTAATTTCATAATTATTTACTGATTTATTATAAATCTCGCTTGTTTTAAATGAGATGATTTCCTGAAAAAAAAATCACGCCTGCTAAAACTGTGATAAGTAGTGTGACCCATGGGCCTCTTGCTCCGTTCTATATTTGCGCTTCACATTGCATGGATGAGTTTTCCGTGCAATCAAAAAAATTGAGATGTCTGAAAACGCCTTTTTAAGTAGGATGGGTAAAAAATTATACTGAAAGAGCAGCGGGCCATTGTAATCCACTATAATTCTCATGTATTTTACATGCATGTCGGTTATTATGTAAATAGGCGACAAAGCACAACCAATGTAATGGAATGTAAATGATACATAATGAGATTCTACAATGTTACAGGACAATGTGCATTGAAATGTTCGGCGAGGACACATCAACAGTAGAGAAGGTTATACCGTACAAAGGGCTGAAACTCTGGCTCACCATTTGGTTCCTCAAGCGCGTCATCAAGAAAGAGACGTGGGGCCATGGTATAGGCCGACACACCCCGGACGAGGTCTGGTCCATAGCTGTGGATGACATGACTGCAATATCTAACTTTCTTGGTAATATATAAATAGTTTAAATTTTATTTTAATTTTAAAATTTCTCACTTCTAAAAAAGGGCTTGTTAAAGGTCGTTATATAATTACATAATTTAACATTATTATAAAAATAAATTGTGTGGATTTTATTTTCATTTCAGGGGACAAGGAGTTTTTCATGGGATCTGAGCCTAGCGAAGTAGACTGTGCGATGTTTGGAATGTTAACCATGATAATATTGAACATGCCGAACTCAAAACATGATAGATATGTTAGAGGTGGGTAAAAAGTTATAAACCCCACCCGCTGGAAGTAGGATATATTAATTTTGGTCCGTCTCTCCATCCGTCCTGTCGTCTTTCTGTCTGTATTTTTGACTCACCCACCCACTTTAAAGAAAAAGAAGAGCATGCGCAGGTCTACTGGGTGGGGGCGGGGCAGAGGGAATTATGGTAAAAAAAAAATTTCAAAAGCTTCTTAGATATCACCCGGAAATGAAGGTTTTGAAGCACTCAGAATGTATGAATTTACGTCCTTGACCTTTTAACCTCAAGATAAATAGGGGTCTTTCTTAGGCCACAGGAAGCTGAGGAATACCATTTCAACGTAAAGGCTTCTCGAGATATCGTGCGGAAATTAAAGTGTTTAAATAGATTTAAATTTATGAATAGGGAGCTGAAGTATAAAATTTCACTGCAAAGGGCCCTCGAAATATCGCGCTGAAATGAAAGTGTTTAAACAGACAACATTTATGACTTTGACCTTTGACTATTCGACCTCAAAATAAGAAGGGGTCTAGCTTCCTAAGATAGAGAGTTTTTATGTAAAATGTCTGCAAACACTCAAAAAGCTTCTCGGGATATCTTACGAAACAAAAGTGTTACAGACAGAAAAACAGACGGATGGATGAAAGGCAGACCAAAATTAATATCCCTCATTTTCAGTGAAAGCGGGGAGCAAAAATATGCTAGATTTCTTTAATGACTACCCGGGTATACCTGTCTTGTCTCTGGAGACCACGTCCGCGAAAATTCTGATGGAATTCCAATGGGTATTAATTATACTCCATTATTGATTGACCTGACAAGCAGGACCTATTTTGTTAAAAAAAACTCTTGAGAGTAGAAAAATAATGCTGTTGACTTCCATTCGATTGATTGGTTGGTTGTATGTTATTTTACGTCTCATTCAAGAATATTTCACTCATAGACATAAATGTATGCCAGTGGAGAGTTTCAAATTGAGACCTATAATCGGAATTTAGCAGTTATGCAGTGAGGGATTTTCATCATATTAACGCTTACCGTTTTATGGGACCTCGGTTTTTTTGGTTGTTTTTACGACTTTTTCTGCAGATACAGGCCATCGTGTGCGTTGTCTCGTATTTTAACTTGCTTTATAAAAAGGGATACTTACTTTTCCTCGGCACCTGATTCCACCTCTGGTGTTTAACGTGCCCCGTGTTTCTGTTGAATCATCATTCGATTTGTACTAGGGCTGTGTATTGAGCAAAAAATTTCGATACGATACGATACAATATTTTTTATAGCGATATGCGATATATTGGATACTATAAAAAGTCCATCAAAAAAGGCTTATAAATCATTTAATGCATGTTTTTCATAAAAATTAAAGTGTTTTATTATCCATTTCAAAGTTCTTGTCTTGTTGTCTTTACAACTAACACTTCAAATTAAAACTCTTAATGACTGTTAAATCAAAATGTTAAAATAAAATTGTCTATGTTTTTGTAATAATTCTAAAAACTGTGTTATTTCCTTAATAATTATTTGATTATTGAACAGTTTTAATTCAAAGAAGTGAAATATGATCTTTGGTGATTGAGATTCCCATCTTTTTAACAGAATTAGAAGAAAAAATGCCTGTCCGATACGTATTGGAAGTTGTTTTTCGATACGATATGTTTCTTGAATATCGATACGTATCGATATATTGATACAGCCCTAATTTGTACGACTAATTAATACTCGTATTGATTAATCGTCATCACATTTTTTTTCATTCTACTCACTACATTGTGAGATATGACAAACTGCTAATTATTGTACTTTGTCAGTATTGAAAGGTATTATATAGAGTGTATAATAGGCTGCTCTTCATGAGAATCATTATTGAAAATCAGTCATATATATTTCACTGTATGCAAAGTGAACATAGCATATCTGTAGTGGGTAAGTGTACGCGAGAGGGGGGGGGGCTATTTACTAATAATTTAATTTCACTTGTATCAAGCAATTTCATTGGCTGAATCATTCAGAGGAACATGTAATATTTTGTATAACATAACTTGCCTACGTCACAATGAGTTACGTCAAAAACGTATTACTCCGCTTGACGTTACTTTTATAATAATACTCAATTTGTAGCCTTTTTCCGGAGGAAAAATTGTCTCATTGTCTACACTGAAATTAAATTATAAAGAATGAAGTTTATTACAACTTATGTTATACGATATAACATAACTTGGAACAATTCACGTTTTTTTTTATAAACCGCTTCGCGGTTCATAAAGCGTAAACTGCCCCAAATTATGTTATATCGTATAACAAAAGTTGAAATAAGCTTCATTCCTTAAATAATATAATGGTCTACTCGCCGCGAACCACTCATTTTGTTTTGTATTTGTAGAGAATATTTTCCTCAGTCGCAAAAATAAACCGTCGTGGATTGATTTCAAACCGACGAATCGCGCATAAAAGATGACGCGAATAATAGTTGGTTTAAATTACAGATCCATATACATAAATCGTATTTAGAATGCCAGTGGAGTACTTTCCTTTACATAAATGTTGATATTTTTTTCTTTCAGAAAATTTACCAAACATAGTTCGTTACTGTGAACGGATGAAACAACGATTTTGGCCTGATTGGGAAAGCCATATTCTAACAAGCAGCAAGTACGAAAATGATGACGGGAAAATTTATTTCAATTCACCAGAAGAAAGATCCTAAATATAGTTTTAGAACCTAAATATAGCTATGGCTATTGTATTGGAAATTCTACCATCAAGGATTTGGTTTGGAAACCAAAATATTGTTAAGTCCATGCGCAAAGTAACATGACCTCAAATTTTTGAGTCCAGAAGTTACCATTTGACCAAAGGTTGTAAATGTTTGAGGTTTTACTGTATTTTAACATTTTACAATTTTTCACTGAAATGTTGTTAAGTGTACTAAATTCATTGGCCATGTTGTGATTCATTTTCATAAAGCTCATATGAGCTTTTGCCCCAGAATCAATTTTTCCGGATGGGCTGGTGGGATTTGTCCGGTGATATTTGCTTCCATTTTATTTTTTTGTTCAGAACAGAACAACTCAAAGCAAGCAAACTTCACACAAAGCATCTTTCAATGAAAGGTTTATTTACAATTTCGCATAGCTGCAGATCTGTAGCGTTATGGTTTTATATATTTGTCTTTGACCATAACGCTACAGATCCCTTAATGCAAAAAGGTTATTGACAAGGTTAAAGTTTTTGCGGACAAAAAGACAGACAGATGGACAAACAGGCCAAAAACTACAGAATATACCTCCGAATCTTCGATTACGGTGGCACAAAAATTGTAAGAAACAAAGATTTTGTTCGGCTGAAGATGCACCATTTTAATCCCTATAATTTTCTTGTGTATCGATAATAAATGTACATTTTTATCATATGGTTTGTTTCGGTTGTAAAGTCTGTAAAAAAGACATAGACAGTTTCTGATGCTTACAATTCGAACGATACTAAAGAAAATATTTAAATTATAGTATTGCTAAGGGTTTTTTTCTTAAGCATAAGGAAAAAAATATATGGTATCTTTTCTCATGAATAAGAGATCTAAAATTGTCCAGTCCAGAGTTAATACTGAGTAAATAGAATATAATACTCAGTATACAGTAAGCTGACCATAGTACTGTAAATAAAAGAAGACAGTAAAATCTACAACTTGACAATATTGTTATTGTCAAATAATTGGTTACGAAGGCCCTAAGTACTGTGTACTTGTACTATTCATAAAGATGGTTTAGGTGGTTATAACAAAAATGGTTTATGAATATTTGTAAACAAATTAAATTGACTCGATTATAATCATTGTGTTTGTTTTACTTTTTCTCATGAATTTTTCACCCATAATGGAGAAGCAACCTTGCTTTTTGAGTGCTGCAAATTTGGACCTGCACTCGGTCCTTTTAAACAAGTATAAGGAATCATTTACGTGCCAGCACCTACTGCGACTAGGATCAGGGACATCGATTTTTACGGTCTCATCAGAAGGACCAGTCTTCACGTCCTACAGTGGGATTCGAACACGCCACCTAAGGATAAACTTCTTACTCCGTGACTATAATGCATACCACTTTGCCACGTGCATGGGCGACCAGTTATGACCAAAAATTAAGTACTGGTTTTAATTTAAATGCTGAGTATTTTATTTCTTTAAAAAAAGCAGTTAAATATAATCACATAAACATACTATAAAAAAAAATTATAGTGTAAGATTGATTGATTGATTGTATAACGTCTCTCTCGAGAATTTTTCACTCATATGGAGACGCCACCACTTGCCGGTGGAGGGCTACAAATTTTGTCCTAAACTTGGCACTTAGGGCCATTGAGAAGGGAGGGATCTTTTTCGTGCCAGCACCTACTGCAACACGGTAACTCGGTTTATACTGTAGTGTCTCATCCGAAGGACCGGTCACCACGTCCCACAGTGGGATTCGAACCTGCGAGGATCAACTGATAGTGTAAGAAGTATACATGTTAATGAATTCTTAATAAGTTGCAAACATCAACAACAATCATTCAAGGCCCCGGATGAAAAAAGTCTTACCCATGGACTCCAAAACAAAATCTTTTTACTCCTACACATCCTTAAGGAAAACTAAGTGGAACATAGAAACTCTGTAAAATGTGAGGGTGTTTTCATTCCGCCAAAGCAGGGATCTTCTGCCATGACGCGTACTACACAAAATTGTAACATTATAATAGTGGACATTTACTTTTAAAACCTCGATTTACATCACGGGTTATTTTTATATTATTATTACTATTATTATTATTATTACAGCTTGTAATACAAAAATATATTGAATTTCTCTTTTTCTTCTCATAAATGAGACATATACTACTAGTATTTTGTAATTGGTTTGCCAGCACTGTTTCATTTGGGAATATTTTCAGAAAAATAAATTTTGCCATGGTCATCGGTAAACTTATCGCTGGCTGTGGTCAAGTTGTCCCAGTCTGGCCAGTAGGTGGACTTCATTCTATGGAAATAACTCACAAGATTGGGATGGTTCTCTAGAAATTAACAAAAGTTATAATTAACATTATAATTAATATTAATATTGTTTTTTACAAAGTTTGCAATTGACATTTCAAATCTAGATATAGAAAAAATTCCAGGACAGTGATTTTCTGTTATATCGTACCTTTGGTAAAACTTTCATATCGTGTCCCCTGCATGCTAACCAGAAGAAATGTCAGCATTCCGAATAGAGAGCAGTCTATTTCACTGGGGTTGTCTCCCATGAAATATTTCTTATCACCTGAAGAAATACGAAGCACAAAAATTCTAGCAGAATGAAAAATTATGTATCATACATATTACATGTACTTACTTCATAAAATACAGAACTCCTACATGTATCTTTACTCCGCACCAAAAAAAACCCCAGAAAACCTAAGACGTACTGTACCATGTACACTAATTAGCATGTTCTCGAAGTGGTGTACTAGTATACCAATTTTCAAAAACTCCATAAAACTTTTAGAAAAATTTAAAGTCAGTACTACGTAACATCAAAACTTAACGATTTTTCTACACCTTTTCCCACTTTTCTCACGAGAAAATTTAAAACTTATCAGCTTTGGGATGTACTAATAACAGACAACTGTGTTTTCAAAATGAAACTGGAATTTTTATTGTGATTGTGCACCACCAAAAATTACTTCGCTAAAAGTACTCTGATTACAGATAAGTATTCTGAAGTTATATGGAAGGGAATTACCGCCAAAAGTCTATGTTTCTTGCTTTTATTCTTATTCTGCCTACTTCTTTATGCTTTGTTATTATTGTAATTATATGTCACTTTATTGTTTTCATATTCGTCTTTATTACATTTCACTTTGACTTTTATCCTTCTTCATTTTGTCCTTACTTCTATGTTGCTTTATTCTTGTAAATGCATTCTACTTTTTTTTAAATTTAAACAGTTTCTTAAATAAATTATTCAATCACGCAAACAATGAAGCATATTCAATGAAGACGAATGGAAGTTGTCAAACCGTCAAAATTTAGTGCGGCATTATAACGCTAGGTGGTGTGGTGTTCGCTACGAGTGTTGGTAAAACTAGGTAACCAAACCCGGGTCGGGTTATTTAAGATTCTTCAATACGCCTTAGTACTTTAATTATCAATCGAACTTCTGAAGGCTGGATCCAATAATCCGATCCAATAATGGAAACTTCATATTTATTTTCTCTGGGCACACAGGAATAGCGGCCTCTTTTTTCAGACATAACTTTATACTATACTGAATATGTTCATTGAAAGGCCGACCCACTTTTTGTAAGAGTAAGGGTCAAATAAGTTAATGTAGTACGTATAGTAGGAAGAAAATTTAAATTTGATTCTATAGAAGAAGTTGAATCTAACCCAAAACTCACCCCGCCTTCGAAATAGGATTTCATTGGCATTGGAAGCAAATTGAAAGTGGGGAGGGGGGGCTATGTGTAAGAATTTTTTAAGACCTTAAAAAAAAAAACCTGACAAGCAAAAAAAAAAAAAAAAAAAAAAAAAAAAAAGGAAATTTGCAATTTACCAAACTCAAATATTCAATTTCGTCGGGGTGGGGGTGGGGGGGGGGGGGGGGGGGGGGGTAGGTTCGAACTCCAGTGCCAAAGTTTTTTTCCATACAACACCACTTTCCCCATTTTAAACCTATACTGCATCGTGTCCATGGCAAGGTGGGGGGGGGGGGTGGTCTAAACCTATGCAGTACTAAGTCTATCTCTGGAAAAAAAAGTGGGGGCTAAGCCCCCCCCCCCCCCCACGGTTCCGACGCCTAGTATGTATTTTCAAGTTTGGACAATTTCCTGGGGTTTTTTTGCGCTTGTCAAGGTGCTTTCAGCCGGGTACTTTACCATTTATTCTCTTGTTGCCCCCTCCCTACTTTCAAAAACGTACAATGCTACGTCACTGTTCTCTCGCCTGAAAAATATAACTCTATTAAAGTTAATTGTTGGATAATTGAATTCCAGTTTAATTGATATAAAAACGTTCAATATTTTGATACTAGTTAACCCTCATAAATTGGGTTGTTTTTCAGAACCATCCACTGAACTGAACTTCAGATAGTATATAACTGCTCATGTGCGTGATTCTAGGGACATGGCTTTGCAAAGGAGTGAGGAGCGTTAATATGGGTAGGCAGGCGCGGATCCAAATTTTTTTTTTCCGGGGGGGGGGGGGGTCCACCCCAGTCCAAAAAAAAAATTTCCAATCCCAGAAATTTCTTGACGAGCATAAAAAAAACCTAAACTCGCCCAAACGTCAAAATCCTATTTCGTAGGGAGCGTTTAACATTTTTTCCTTGCTTTAGTATATACGTTTTTAAACCTTGTAAATTCCAGGGGGTCCTAACACCCCACCCCCCTCTAGATCCGCGCATGGTAGGCGAAGTAGGAACTAGGCATCATGCATCCAGACATACTAGAAACTCCCTGGTCTTATTTTCAGCGTTAATATTTTATATTAAAATAACACTTAATTTTCAATAAAGAAAGAATTTATATCTTTAGTACGCATCGTATTTGTGATCAGCCAGAAGAGCTAAAAAAATTCTTAGAACTCAAAAATTCTGTTTGGTGGTGGTGAGGGGGGAGGGGTCGTCAACTTTTTTTCAGTACTAAATTTTACTCATGCAAATAAGTACATGACTTTTAATATATAAACTGACTATTAGTACTGCAATAAAAAGGGTAAGGGATGGGGGCAACAAGCCTTTCGCTGAACGTTTCCAGTAGTAAAAAGTTACGTTTAGGAAAATGTTTCGTGGCCACCCACCCCTCTACCGGCGAAACTTACCCCATAGGAGGTCGTCCACCCGGAAGTCAGTATATATATTGAGACTTTGGTGGTTTGATTGTACATTGTATAATGCCCCTTGCGAGAATTTTTAACTCAAAAGGAGAAGCCACATCTTGCCGGTGGAGAGCTGCAAATTTGTCCTATATACTCGGCACTTATAGCCATTGAGCCGTGAGGGATCTTTTTTCGTGCCAGCACCTACTGCGACACGGGACCTCGGGTAACAAGGTCTAGATCTCACCCGATGGATTGAACTCCACGTCCTTCTGTGGGATTCTTACCCACGACGTATTGATCGACTCCTTACTACTGTACTTCGTGACTCTAGACGCCGTAACCACAGTGCCACGCGGGCGACTTAACCCAGGGGGAGAAGGGGGGGGGGGTGGTCATTATCCATATGTACTCTTGAAGATTATCTATGTTTAACTATTGGTTAAAATGATTTAATTATAAAGCACTTTTAAAATGATATTATTTAAATATTTATTCATACATGTATCATGTGTATAGGACGGATAACTTTTCTTCAAAAACTGAAAACGTTCGTATATATAAATATCGTTTTACGATTAAAAAAAAACTATTCGGGGGAGGGGTCGCTATGAAGTGGGGGCGAATTGCTATATATAGCGAGATTTCCCACGGAAGACTAGCTATACCCCGGGGGAAGTCCCACTGTATAGTCTTCCGAAGGAAGCATCACTATGTAGTCAGTCTTCCAGGGGAAATCTTACCATCTAGCGAGACTTCCGAGGGAATGGCATGTATCGGGTACATACCTGAACTAATAACAAACATCATTCATTTGAAAATTTAAGTTCGATTGATAAAGTATTAAGGCAGAAAATTGGGAAAAAACTCGAATAACCCCGGCCCGGTTTGCTTACCTAATTTTACCAACACTCTTAGCGAACACCCCTGCCACCTAGCGTTATAATGCGGCACTAAATTAGGACAACTCGTATTCGTCTTCATTGAATATGCTTCATTGTTTGCATTATTGAGTTAACGTTCGTAATAGAGATAATCATTTAAGATACTGTATCAATTTAAAAGAAAATAAAATGACTTAACAAGAATAAAGAAACATAGAAGTAAGGACGAAATGAAGAAGGATAAAAGTCAAAGTGAAATGTAATAAAGGCGAATATGAAAACAGTAAAGTGACATATAGTTACAATAATAACGAAGCATAAAGAAGTAGGCAGAATAAGAACAAAAGCAAGATACATAGACTTTTGGCGGTAATTCCCTTCCATAAAGTTAATAAATAATACTTATGTAGTCTTTTAGATCGAGTACAAGTAGGTCTTTCGATAGTCTGCTGGAATTTCGATGGACTTTTACTGAGCTCTTTTATTTGTCGACCTGTATTTTGATTTCTTAATTTGAAGCTTTCATAATTAAAAAAAACTTCCATATTAAAAAAAATAAAGAACTTGCTGTGGCCTTTAATTCGACATTCAAATATATCGACGACGTTGTATTTCTTACAGTCATATGTCTTATTATTTAAAAAATGGTGCTAGATTGATTGTATGTTGTTTAACGTCCCTCTCGAGAATTTTTCAGTCATGGAGACGCCACCACTTGCCGGTGGAGAACTGCAAATTTTGTCTTATACTCGGTACTCTTGGCCATTGAGCAGGGAGGGATCTTTTTCGTGCCAGCACTTACTGCGACACTGGACCTCGTTTTCTACGTTCTCATCCGAAGGGCCGATTTCCTTGTCCCACAGTGGGATTCGAACCAGCGAAGTAAGGGTCAACTACTCACTTCGCGACTCTAGCGCATGTACGCTCTAACTACTGCGCCACACGGTCTACAAATGGCGCTAGACTCTGCCACATCTGTTTCATATTTGGACGTTTGACTGCTTATTAACAATAAGGGCCAACTAACAATTCGTATAACAAACAATTTTCCGTTGTTAAGTTTCTATATTTATGTAGTAATATTTCTATTTCTAATATTTTTCTCTGTGATAACTCTTTGAAAGTTAGGGGTAGTTTATTTCTTGATAATTCTGCCGGAATGTAAATTAGGCAGGTCGATAGGTCGGGAGCTAAGGAGGCCTAATACGCATGCAATTCTCGTGCGCATCTGTCTCTGTGTCTGACGCTAGGGAGGCCAAATATGCATGTAAATCTCGTGCGGCTGCCTTTGTGTTTGACGTCGGTTGGCGAGGACTGTTGAAATTGGCATGGACGTCATCATGTGATTTAAATCTATTAAGCTACATTTTTAAAGTCTAAATCTATAATTTTATTTCACAATGAAATGGAGATATAAGGAATCACTGTCTAGTTAGGAGGGTATGTCAGGGACATCAACAATAGTGGGAAACATGGGATAATTTAAGCATAACAGGCTTCGCCCGTTATGCAAATTATCCCATGTTTCCCACTATTGTTGATGCCCTGACATACCCTCCTAACTAGACAGTGATTCCTTAAAAATACCTACCCAGATAGTTAGACAGAGCCTCGATATCAGCTTGACCTATGCTCCAGACTTCCTCCACACTGTGGCGTCCAATTCCGTGTCCCCAGGTGGCGTTTTTTATGGCACGTCTCACAAACCAATAATACAGCCAAAAGCCAAATCCCTTAAATGGAGCTGAACTTTTCAACACTGGTATGTTGTCTTGATTACAGAACAGTTCGATACATAGCGTCCTGAAATGTAAAACAGACATCAGCTACATTCAAAGGAAACCTTTTGATTACATACATGTACATGTATCTTAAATATTTGGAACCAAGATGGTTTAGAAAGTCTATTTGTTACATTTTTTAAAGAAAATGAATTGTTTATTTTAAAACTTTGTGTAGTATAAATGTAGCTTATCGATATCTCAACGAAAATCTTTAATAATTAATATTACTCGGAAGGCGTTGGAACCGGAGGGGGGAGACTTAGCCCTTACTTTATTTTTTTTTTTGCAAAGTACCCATAATATAGGCAATGGACATTGGAGCGTAGGTATAGTCCCCCCTCCAACTTTCAATAGGCCCGTCGCAGTTTAGGTCAAGAAAAGGTTATGTGGTATAGTGTTTGGAAAAAAATTGTTTTGTTACGTTGCCGATATATATCTACTGTCCAAACTCAGTTCATGAAGGAGGGAGAGTATATAAAAATAATATATGCTCATCAATATTTATGTTTCAATGGGGGGGGGGGGGGGGGGTAGAGGTGGGGGACGGTTGGAAAGGGTACATGTACTTAGGCAGTCATACCAGTAAAAGTTTTCTTCAATCAGTTTCAAGAACGCCCTGGCTACGCTTTTCTGCCGGGAACTTAGTTCTGTATTCAGGTCGATGCCGTTTTTCTTTTTCAGGAAATCTATACAGAATTGGGAATCCGCAACTTCTGTATCATTGAATTTGATCCATGGTGTTTTACCTTTCTTGGACATTCTCCCGCTGTGGTCATTCTAAAAAGGTTTTAGAAATTAATATATTCTTACGTACTTTTTAAATGTATGGATATGTCAATGAAAATAATTAAATTTCATCTCGATCGAAATGGATAACTGATACAAACCTCAGGCATGCCTGGTATACTATACATACAACGTATCTTTAACTTCTGGTATAAATAATATCAAATCTTTATATACAAATATATAACCTGCTTTTTGACAGAATGTTATGAAGATAGTAGAGTAAAAGGCCATTTTTCCTGTTTGTCAAGATTTTGTTGCAGGTTGTATAGATCTGCACCACTCTTACAACTATAGTTTAAAATATTACTAAATTACAAAAAATAACAACGGTTTATATTATATAAAAGCGCCCACCATATATGGTGTTTTGGTCATGCGTAGAAACGTCTCAAGCTTCATTGGGAATGGCGACTTGCTGGGAACCATCAACCCTCTTCCAAAGAAGTGATGGACCACTACCACATTTGTAGGAACTGTCAGAAACTTTTTCCTGCGAAAAAATGTTTTATCCCTTTCAATTAATCCATTGTCGGAAACCCACGGTCAATCTTCTCGCATATACACGAAATGTAACATCAATGCAAATGTAATACAAATGTAATACTTAGTAAATCGGGATTATTACATTTTACGTTTTTAAATTTTGCGTCGAGATCAACAAAGAATGTAATCATGCAAAATGTAAGAATATAAACATCCTTTTTGTTATTATTACATTTTACGTTATTACATTTTACGTCGAGGTCAACACAAAATGTAATAATCTAAAAATAACGTCATTACATTTTGCGATTTTACATTCAGCGTTGATCTCGACGCAAGATGTAATAACGCAAAATGTAATAATCCCATGCAGTTAATTACATTTTGCGTTGTTATTACATTCCACGTTTAATTTTAACAAAGCTATGCTTATTGACCGGGTGATGATTAAAAGACGAGGACATCTCTGGGTATCCGACGATACTTTCAATCAAAATGGTGATATAATTTTGTTTTACAATCGTGCTTTAAAAACTCATAATGTGAGAATTTTCGCAATTCGAATTTTGTAAAAATGTGTGCCGAGAGACCTCGAACAATCTCCCAAGCACAGTTGCTCAATCCACAGAGCTTTGGGGAGGGACCTTCCCATCCCCCTTCCTTCATAATTCATAAATTGGTCCGTACCCCTAAGAGTTCTTTTTTACTTTTTTAAGTATCAGATGGTATGGGGTTTTTTTATATATAAAAGGCTTGTTTTAGCTATAATGGATTTTCCAGTTGTTATACTCTGTGAATATGTCATGGAAAAATATTTCATTTAAAAAAGGTCAAATAACCAATCCTTGGGGTACGGAAGGGGGGGGGGTTCCGGGCCGTCCCCGGGCACCTGTGGAAATTAATAACGTTTTAACCCAGTTTGACTTCCATACTACGTATTTTATAAACACAAGACTTCTTTGTCCATGTAACAGAAGAATGCTTTCAACAATAATATCATTTAAATGTACTTTCAAATATTACAACTTTATACATAACTTAATCTTAAAGAAATAATTTTTTAAAACGTTTTTAATCCAAAAATAACATTACTCTTATAAAGTTAAGTCAAGCATGAAATATCAAAATAAACATGGAAAGGCGGTCATAAATTTGTGAATAAACTATAGGCCTAGCAGTACAAGTTCAATGTAATTTTACCGTTTTCGAAGGAGACAACAGCACAGAACAAAACAAAGAAGAAGTGCGCATCCAGCCAAAGAAAGCCATGCTCCTTGTTTGAATTCCATCATACCGCAGAGCGTAAATTGCGTACATGAAAAGATGAGTCTGCCCGACTAGGTCAATGACCTCATCGGATTTTTTTCTCTCTGAAAATTGTTTTGCGTCAGAAATTAGGTCATGACAATGTTGTTCATGGATCAATTGACAATACCTTTCAAATCAAAAATATTCAAGAGAATATTATACATGTACATGATGTAATACGTAATCTGTACTGCATGGAGACTACAGCATTTTATGAAATTTTAGGAGTGGGACCCCATCTTGCTGAGTAATTATCTCAAGATATTTAACTGCATTACTGATTTGAGGAATTCTAAAAATGAAATATATCATTTAAAAACAAAATTCTTTATATAAATTTTATTTCGTGAATTTGTCTTACTTTCGCAGGTTGATTATTTTCAATCTTAATTCTTCAAGGTTCTTGTCTAATTATTCATTTTTTTATTAAAGGGGGGGGGGGTCGACTAGGAGATCGTTTAAAAAGATGCTAACTTTGATAGTAACACCATTTTACTGATACTTTAAAATTTGCAAAAAAAAAAAAAATAAATAAAAAAAAAATTAGGTTCCTGGTGGATAATTGAACATTCAAAGACTCAAAGTTGTTTAATTTATTTAAAGTTTGAACAAATATGTAAAAAAAAAATATATATATATACGTGTCAAAATCCCTTGAATAAATATTGAAATCTCTCCTTTTCCATTATTGTCTTTCTAAAGGTGAGCACCTTTTTCCGACTCATAATATGGTAGAGGGGGTGCCCTTGTCAACAAGTACCCGTGGTTCAAATGTGTGTTCATCGTGACAAGTATTTTCCATGAATATAAAAATTTTTAGACCTTGACTTTTGACTCACTTTTAAAAAGCCTTGGACATAATTTTTGAATGGCTTTTCTACATGTATTTCAAATGAATATATTCATTGAGACAATTCCTTTCTTTTAGGTTACAACATTTTTTTTCCCTTTGACCTTTACTCTTGAGTTTGATCTACTTTTGAAAAACTTCAACCTTGGCCATCACTTTTGAACATTTGGTGCTAGAGCTACAATATTTAGTAGCTGTATTTTTTTCTAAAAAGGCCTTCCCCTTGGTACCTTTAATTTGACCTTTGACCTTGACCCACATTTTAAAAAAAAGTTTTAACCTTCGCAAAACTTTTAATTAGTTAGTGCTTTGGCTTTTCACATGTACATGTATAATTATTGAGACAAGTTTTATCTTTGGATAAAAATATTTTTATTGCTTGACCTTTGGGTTTGATTAACAATCTCTAGACTTCAACCTTTACCAAAAGGTGCCATATCGTGGCATCAGTGTTTTTTTTTTCACATACACACACATACACATCTTGTTTTCTTTTGAATATTCATATCTACAATCTGTCATAGAGGGATAAAAGCCATTTCTTCTTTGTGCAAACTTTTTATTTCTATAAAACAGATTTCAAGGTAAAATTGGTGTAAACACGAGGAAACAAATTAGATAATAATAATTAACAAAAATCAACATAGAGATTGTCACAGCAAATATATATAATACATGTATATTTATAAATGAATATTATTATATCATATTCATGTAAATCAAAATACAAGCATCAAAGTTTAGTCTTAGCAAAGTGACATACTGGTTTGTAAGACATTTCACTTCTCAATCAGCAAAAGTTTGTCAAAATTAATGCTAATTAAATTTAACTGCATTTTCTGTAATATAAAAAATACATAAAGAGATTTAAAAAAAATAAAAAGCTGACTTCAGTAAAAGAAATTGCACATTGTTTCAGTGTTCATTATACATATATAGGAGGGACACTTGATGA